ATATATTTATATATATATATTTATATATATATATTTATATATATATATTTATATATATATATTTATATATATATATTTATATATATATATTTATATATATATATTTATATATATATATTTATATATATATATTTATATATATATATTTATATATATATATTTATATATATATATTTATATATATATATTTATATATATATATTTATATATATATATTTATATATATATATTTATATATATATATTTATATATATATATTTATATATATATATTTATATATATATATTTATATATATATATTTATATATATATATTTATATATATATATTTATATATATATATTTATATATATATATTTATATATATATATTTATATATATATATTTATATATATATATTTATATATATATATTTATATATATATATTTATATATATATATTTATATATATATATTTATATATATATATTTATATATACTAGGCGCGTCCTCCTGGCACTGCACACGCACGTGGGGTCGTATCCGCCCGCGCCCTCGACCGCCATTGATAACGACGCCTTCAATGCCGTCAGGGTAAGTGCAGGACGACTGAACCAAGAGAGAAGGTTACGAGTAATATTGATTGGAAGGACAACTATATCTGAAAAAAAATCAGGAAAAAAAACAGTGAATATTAACAGAAATCAATGAAGGTATAATGATATGAAAACAATAATCCGACTGCGTTTCTCCAGAGGTACCGGGGAACGAGGAGGTTCATGCTGATGTGCCAGCTGGCGGGGGCATGGCTCCTGGAGGAGGCGGGGAGGCCCCTGGAGATCGAGGTGTCCATCGGCAACTTCGGAAACAAGCTTGAGAACACCATGCTGCCTTCGCCCTCGTCCACGCACCCTGCCAATCCGGTGTTCGATGGCTGCAAGTAAGAAGGATGAGCATTTACTAATATCAAAAGAAATTAATCTTTAGACATTTGTCGTATCTTTTTACCTTATCGTCTTCGCATTTAAACGACAAGTGTATTGTCGATATTTCAAGACATACTTCTGAAGCTGGATTCCATGACATCACATCATCTCACTCCTTTGTTATAAGGGAATAAATCGTATCTCTTATATATTTCTTATATATTTCTTTCCATCGCCTTTCTTCCTTGTAGGTATTACTTCCTGCCATGGGGCGACGCCTTGCCGCTGGTGACTGTCCACTGCGACTGGGAGGATGTCACGCACAGACTTCACAGCGTTAACCACGTCACCGCGATAGCATCGGTTAGTTAACGTTTGAGACTATGGAGACTTTTACATTCTTTTCATCGTCTGTGTGATTGTAGGGGAAATTATTTCCTCACAGCGATGAAATATAGAAAATGCAAGAAGTTATTAACTATTGATAAAATTCTTCCTTCATTTAACACACAACTCTTCCTACAGGCACTGAAGAAAGATTTGCAGCAAGCGGAGCTGGTGTTGCGAAGTAAGCACCAAACTCCTGAAGGGAGGAAGGAGGTGGCAGACATCTTGCAAGACACACTGACGAAGCTGATTGACGCGTGTAGGTCAGTACTTCTGTCTCTTTTTAGTATCATTTTAAGTATTTAACTTCTGGCTAATCTGTGAAAGAACATTGTCGAAGTATGGAGATTCAGACACGCAACGAATTTCTCATTGTGATTAGAGAAGTTCCTCATTCATCGATGCAATTTAAGTACTCCCATTGCTCCTTGGGATACTTTAGCTACGCCCCATCATGATTAGGATACACCCCTTATCCTTCGATGTGTCCCCAGGGCGCCCTTGCCAGCCGTGGACCCTGTTCGCCACGTCGAGACGTCGCTGGACCGCCACCTGAGGGACCGACGCAGACTCGAGTTGGACCAAATCGCGATGTCGTGTCAGGACCTCGATACCTCAGAACACCAGTCCGTCCTGGAGGAACTGCAGGCCGTCCTCACCCTTCTGGAGGACCTGGCTGTTGAAGTAAGAGGGAGATGAGGAGGGGAGGCAGGGAATCTCAGAATAAAAATATAGAGAAGAAGTAATAGAAAAGTTTATACTAACGAGCAAGTAAGGTAGCCTGTCATGTTTTTTTAATCGCATTCGTAAAGGCAAAGACTCGCCGGGGCGCAGACATACCATGCTGTGACCAGGTCAATTCCACCCTATTATTCCAACATAACCCATTGTCTATAAACTTAACTGCGGATTCTATACCTAATCGCTGCTTCTTCTCTCCTTCGTTCACAGCCTCAGAATAGCATCCCTGACGTCTTCCTGTGGCTCATGAGCGGAACGCGACGCCTCGCCTACGTCAGGATTCCCGCCCACGCCGTCCTTTATTCCCACGACCTGGCCGCCCAGGGAGAGCTGGCCGGGAAGTTCAATACCTACACCCTCTGCTACCCAGGTTCGTGACGCATTCTGTTTCACTGCGCATATCCATACTCACTTTTAACATACTGTACTAAGTTCTCTTGTATTGTGAGCATCAAGTTTCCTGTTCATTTGCCTTCATCCCCGCCCGCAGACAAGGATGAGAGCTTCGTGGGCGGCGTCGTGCGGGCGTCGGTGTGGCTCGGGCAGGAGGCGGACGTCAGGTCCTGGTGGGACAACAGGCCAGACGTCCAGCTCACCGTGTATGCCGAGTCGTATGAGAATCAGGTGAGGAAAGGAGACCTTGCTCATTGCGATATAGATATCTATGTATGCATGTTGCCTTGAGTGTTTGTTCATACATACATACAAACGCCCTAACCTTCTCGTCGGTTGCAGGTGATCGCCGTGCCCGGCAGCGGCAAGTGGGGCACCAGCGGCCTCCTGCTCACGCGCCCCGCCTTCTCCGACGCCGACGGGCGCCTCAGCCTCCCTCGCGAAGCCTTCCCGGAGCCCGAGGGATGGAAGTTCCAAGGGGACTGGATCGTCGACCCGGACCCCAGGTGAGGCGGCTTTTGGAAATGCATATTATAGATTAAACTAATAAAGTATCCAAACCTCTTTGGAAGTAGGGTTAACCCATCAGTGTCCGCATTGAATGAGAGCTTCGTTCTCTCTACGGCGCAATCGACTCGCCGCAATGACCGCATCTCTCACGCCGCAGTGTGAAGTACGAGGCGGATGCAGGGCGACAGCTGTTCACGGAGGAGGTGTACGAGCAGCAGATGCGCATGCCGGGCGGGACGTGGCTCCCCGCCCCCTCCAACACGTGGACCGACGCCCGCGGCGACCCCGCGTCCAAGCGAGATGAGATCGCTTGTCCGGACGGATGGAAGTGGCGGGACTTGTGGTCGGTGAGTAGACATGCGCGCTTACTGGTATGTCCGATTTCAAGGAAGCGAAAGAAAGAGAAAGAGAGAAATTTTGTTTGACTCGAAAAAGCCTTTCATTGCATGATTTGCGTGCCTTTCAAAAATCCAAGAAAAGACGCCCAACTGGTGTAGCAGGGCCATCTGTCACGATGGGCTATGGTAAGGACAAAGCTAATACATTCATGATACATGATATAATCTGGGTAGTAGTTTCGCTAATAAGAAGCAGCTTCTGGGCGTCGAAGATAGAGTAAACTCTTGTTACTGAACAGGGTGCTTCGAGCAACGCTGGAGACATCGTTAACGTGTTTGCTTACAAAAGTTGTAAGAGGAGGATAGGTATTAAGCAACGTTAAATACTTTTAGAAATATTATAGGTCGGATAAAATCATGTTTATCATCAGTTTGTACCTTTTTTGTTAAAAGATGAATAAGGGTCATGTAATTTAGCCTGTAATGGACAAAGGTATCAATCTAATGAGGCTGAATTTATACACAATAAATTGATATATTCTTTGTATTAGTAGAAAAGATACAGGTCAGTTTCCATTGCGCGCCTGCTTGTTTGTGTTATGTTCGGAACACTTAACTGAAATACGTTGCTCTTGCAGTATGACCTGCAACGCGCGGTGGACGGCGAGGGCTGGGAGTACACCGTGGAGAGCGGCCTGGTGGGCTGGTCGCCGCAGGAGAAGATCTACCACGTGACCCGCAGGAGGAGGTGGATTCGCGAGCGCTTCCTGGTTCACAAGGTCGAAAAGGTCAGTGGAGCGAGGCAGAACTCCATAAGGAGTAACGGAAGCTTTTCAGTTGTTTTCCAGTCTTCGGTTTATAAGATGCAATGCAAAACGAAAATATTTTGGAAATTCATCTCTATAACTTTGCTCGACGTCCACACAGCACCAGGAGGTAGGCCAGGTAGAGGGCTGGGAGTACGCCCCCCTGTTCCGCCTGCAGTTCCACGCCCTCGAGAGGAAGGTGGACATGGTGAGGCGCCGAAGGTGGAGGAGGCGCCTTGTGCCCGCCCAGCCCGGAGGAGCCCCGCCCACGCCAAGACTCGTCGTGAAGGCGGGAGATGGTAGAGTCCTTGCCAGTCTAAATATTCTAGAAAAGAATGTAATCAGTCTAAAAGGCTCTTCAGAATTATGATTATTATTATTTGCCAAAATTGTCTTATCGACTTTATGCTTCCCTTCTATCAGTTTTTTTTTTTTTTATTCCATCCCAATCCTATACTTTGCACTTTCAGGCGATGACGCAATCACGCAGCTCACGTGCCCACGGATGTACGTGGTGAGTGCCGAGCGCCACACGTTCCAGCTCCGTGCGCACTTGTACCAGGCACGTGACTTGCCGGCGGGAGACAAGACAGGGCTTTCGGGTAGGTATAAACGCGACTCTCCCTTGACAGATCAAATGTGTTTTATCTAATGACTTCTGCTTTGTTATTCGATTTGGGCGCATCTATATTACAGGGAATCGTGTGACATTATCATGTATATATTAGTCTATATAGCTTATGCGAACTGGTTATTTTAATTGTTAACAAAAATTATTATAAGAATTTATGGAAATATATCTGTACTTTGTGTATGCACCTGCCCTGATATTACAAGAAAGAGGTTTAACAAACATACCACATCAGAAATTAAGAACACGAACTGCGCCAGTATCAGTTAAAAAAGGTTCGAATCCCAGACGCCCATTTCATTCCATTTCGTCGATTTTCAAGCTCACCGTCTCCTCGCCCCTCAGACCCCTACGCCGTGGTGAGCTTCTGCGCAGGAACACAGCAGACGGAGAAAGAGCGGGCGACGCTGTGTCCTACGTGGGACCAGACGCTAATCTTTGACGACGTGAAGCTGGCGGGCCCCGTGCTCACCACCCGCACGCAGGCGCCACAGGTGGTCGTTGAGGTCTTCGACTGGGATGCCAGGGTGAGATTGTCACAAGCAGACTTATCACCATTGTTATTGTTGTTATTAATATTGACATTGTTGTTGCCACTGATTATTGTAATCATTACTTCAAGGATTCATTATCTTGCCTATCTATCTGTCTATGCTTTCAATGATTTTGTCTTATTTGTTAATCTTTTACTTATTCATGTTGTGTCGACTTTAAGATGACTAAAATAGCCAGCCTTCAACCGAACGATCTTCTCGAATAATCCATAACTGAATTAACATGCAGCATATCGAAACTTATTCCATAGCCACTACAAAATAGGAAACGAGGTAGTGTTGGAAGCAAGAAAATACATATTCACTTTCTAGTGGACTAAGACCTATCTTTCGTCCTCGTCTCCCTCAGGGCGCCCCGGAATTCCTTGGGCGTGTGTTCTGCTCTCCTACCATGGTCGAACTGGGCGAGGCGTACCAGTCACTGCCTCTGAAGTGGTACCCGCTCTCGCGAGGGAAGGACAAGCAAGGTACGGCGAGAGATGTTTATTTCGAGGAACGGAAGGTGGTAGTTGGAGGGATTTGAGTGAAGGCATAGTGAGATTTTGTGAATGAATGTCCTAGGGCTGTTTTGAATGGAGTTTTATGAATGATATATATATATATTTGGAATTCACGGGTGAAGGCAAAAGAAGGATGGATGGCATTCATTCAGGATTTATGAATGAAGGTACACGAGACTTTTGTGAAATCCGCGTGCTGTAGTTATAGCTGTAAGCATACTGAGGTTTCATGTGAATGGAATGCATTAGGGATTTGCGAATGAAGATACACGCATGACATGAGAAGTGCAGGGTCGCATGAGAGGTAGAATTTAGAGATGTAGATAAAGAAGCTGAAGAAAAAAGAGGAAGGCAAATCATTAATAACACACAACATATTATGTCAAGCTAATTGTGTACAAGCTATGCAAACAGTCTTTGATGGTCTCGGCAGGTGAGCTCCTGGCGTCTTTCGAGCTCCTCCCGAAGGACACGGCGGAGGAGCTGCCCATTCTCCCCCCGACGCGCGGAGACTTCTACATGGTTCCCTTCGGCGTGAGGCCCCTCCTGCAGAAGACCAGGGTTGAGGTATGCAAGAGCTGCAGTTGAGTAGTTTATCAATTTATTTTTTTAATTTTTATTATTTATTTATTTATTTATTTATTATTATTTTTTTACAGCTGTGGTATTGTTGCAAGGTGAACCTGTGACCGATTATGTTATGAATTCACATGGTAGAAATCTGATTGGGTTTTGCAATTAGAGAGAATGCCTACATCACACAAAACTTAACGCATTTCTCACCCTTTCTCCATCTCCATCTTCTCCTTTGCCCCCACCTCCAATTTCACCTTCATCACCGCCTTCTCTGCCTCCTATTTCATCCTCTTTGCTTCCACTCCACACCCTCCTCATCTCCTCCCCCACCTCCTCCTTTACTTCTACTCCACCTTTTCCTTCTCCTCCTCCACCTTTTCCACCTCCACCTCCACCTCCACCTCCACCTCATTTGCTTCCACCCCGTCCCCCTCCTGCTGTGCCCCCGCCGTCCCCCGCAGGTGCTGTGCTGGGGCGTCCGCAACATGTCCACCTTCGAGCTGCAGTCCGTGACGCGTCCGTCGATCGAGTTCGAGTGCGGCGGCGAGCGGGTGACGTCACCCATCATGGCCAACCTCAGAGTCAACCCAAATTTCGACAAGCCTCACCTGGTCTTCGATGTGGTGAGTACTGTACTGGTGTTAATGGTGTTGTCATTATCCACGCCGTTATTAAGCTGTTGATTTCTTCGTTATGATCTAGTTGTTTTTACTCGCATGGCCTCGGAGAACAGTGAAACTCGAGCGTAAAAGAGGAGATAGGTGCAAGTTATAAATAGAATGTTTAAAGAACGTGTTTCTAAATAGCTGGATGCCGCGTGAAAAGACTTTCTTCCATTATTTTTCCTTTTTTTTTCATTTGGTTCTCCCGTTCAAAAAAAAGAGTGCCACAAATCTGACCTGTTTTCGTGTCCCAAGGAACTCCCGAAAGAGGACCTGTACATGCCGCCGCTGACCCTGCGCGTGGTCGACCACCGGGCCTTCGGGAGCAAGCCTGTCGTGGCCACCGCCGTGGTGTCCGACCTTCACCAGTACACCGTGGAGCCCAAATCTGCAAGGTGGGAGACCCTTAGGAGGACCTTTGGCACTGACCTTTGACCTCGTTATGAGCTGGTGCATTTTAACCGTCTGTGTGACTGACATAGTAACCTTGCAGCCTTGTCCGATGACCTCTGCCTCTTTGACGTTTTAGTGTGGAGTGCGTTTAAACCCCGGGGAGAGGAAGGACGAAGACCATTTGACCTTATTGTGAATGTGTGTATGAGAGAGAGAGAGAGAGAGAGAGAGAGAGAGAGAGAGAGAGAGAGAGAGAGAGAGAGAGAGAGAGAGAGATAGAGAGAGAGAGAGAGAGAGAGAGAGAGAGAGAGAGAGACAGACAGACAAAGAGAGAGAGAAGACTTAAATCCAGGGGACTTTTGTCAAAAACAGCTTAGTTTTACCACATATGACACAAAAACTTACTTAAGTAGTGCTTTTTTGCTTCTCATTTATACATAGCATAGCCTAACAGTATAATTGAGTGTGCACTGGTTTATCTAAAAGTGTGCATGAAATGTGCGTGATGCGCATGAATGAACGTACACAAAACCTCAGCAAACTGCTCTTGCCTGTAAGCACAGTGTGACTGATGTAAATAAATCAAATAAGTCAAGTACCACAAGAGTGCTCGTGACAAGCAACTGCACGCATGATGATATAAGAAGTAAGAATGCTGCAGGCGGATATAGATATTACAAATCAGTCCCAATTGTTGCCGACTGCATTTCTCAGAATAGTTTACAGATATGCTTCATATGCGTCGTGTTTGCAGATGCGTGACTGAGCTGTATTGGCAAGCGTATGATCTGTGATTTAACTGTCACGAGATCGCCGAATGTATGTCATGAAAGCGCACCCAGCCGAGCCAAGTGATGCTGTCCTTAAAGAGTTTTGTTTTTTGTTCTTTTATCGTTATACTTTCAGCAATGCATGTCATGATGACTAGACTTATTTCTAGTGTTGAGAATAACTTGTCTGAGAGTTGTCTCTTCCCTTCGTCTCCAGGAAGAAGCGGAAGGGAAAAAGGGTCCCTTCGCACCTCAGGTATTTCCTCACACCTGTTCGTTGAGCCTCGCTGCTTCCTCGTGGGACACTCTCATAACTCCTGCTTGCTTGTTATTGTTATCACTGTAATGGGAATAGCAATAGTGATAAGAATAACAATTGTCGTTAGTTCATTATCATTGTTGTGAGTAGTAGTACTATCAATATTATTGTCATTGCTATTTGTAGTAGTATTGCTATTATCATTATCACTATTCATATAATTGTCATCAACATCGTCAGCATCATCACCAGCTTTATCATCCTCATCACCTCCTCCTCCTCTTCCTCCTCCTCCTCCTCCTCCTCCTCCTCATCATCATCATCATCATCATCATCATCATCATCATCATCATCACCACCATCAATAATCAGTCATCATCATCATCCTTATTACCACTAAGACCCGCGAATTATGAGGGTGTTGCATGGAGGTTTATTATCCGCTTTTTCCTCAGCCAAACATGCATAGCAACCTAATGAACAATTCAGTTTGATTCTTTATCTCCGTGATGCAGGAAGTGAACTCAGATTTGTTTGTCCCTGGTGGTGTTTAGGCCTGTTTTCTGTCTCCTTCGTATCTTGTGGTTTGTTTCTTATCTAACTAGTGTTCCCTGGACTCTTCCTTATCCTTGTCATTTTCTGTTATCCTTGGCGTTCGTGTTGTATGTATAACGCAACTGTACAACCAATAAGCATCAAGTGAAGATACGGGATACTTAGCTTTCAGTCTACTTCTAATATTTCTGAGTTTTCTAGTTATAAACCGAATCTCTACGACACGGAATACTAAAGGCTGGTCTTCCCGAAGTCTTATTTATGTCACTCATGGTTTTGGGTACTGATAAGGCCTCACAAATCTTGGATAACTGGATCCCAAACCCCTTCTTACTACGGACTGACTAAAGCTAAGGGGAAAAAAGAGCTAATCACACATAGTACTTCCACGAATAAAGCACGATCAGCAACTCCGATAAATTGCACCCTGTAATCTAACATTAAATTGTACTTATTATCATACTTATTACTGTCTCTTTCCATAACATACCTCCTTTCTCGGTGATCTTGGGCCTGCAGGTTATTTGGAACTCTCTATAAGGTCCACGACTCCTTTTGTCTGTGATTTGTACAGTTAAAATGAATTATTAGAGTCCACGTGGTTTAACATACTTCACGGTGGTTGGGTTTGTGTCTCTACTGTCACCGTAATATTAGGTCCACGGGTGCTATTACGACATGTGCTGTAAACAGTTCTAAAAAATGTTATTAGCTTATTTAAACTCTGGCAATTCAGCACATCAGCATATATCAGCATAGATTTCGTAAGTTAGACTTGAAATCGCCTGTGATGCACCACGGGTCGTAAGAGTAAGCTTAAGCTATTCTGTAATTGTGACTTTGACAATTTTAAACTTGGATTCCATTTTGAAATGGGATATCTTAAAAAAATGTATCATATGTTTAATTTTCTCTTGGTGGAAATGATTTTGTTTTATGTTGTTGAGCTCTGGACATGATTGCAGCAGTGGCCTAATACCATTGACATTTCATACCTAAACATATATATTTTTTTAAATGCTGAAGACGCCCGTATGCACAGAGATATCTCACGCCCTCCTCTCCTTCTTCCGCAGAGAGAGCTTGCCAGCCACCACTCTGCCGCTGCTGGACTCCAAGGCGGCTAAGGAAAAGGTTGGTAGGCCTGACCCCGACGTCGCGCCCGGTTCTTGGCGTTGCTAGATGTCCCTTGTCTCTCTGTAGAATGTTGCTTGATGTTCTTCCCTAGTACGCTGTCTTAGTTTGTATTTTTTGAAGCTTGTTATCTCCTTAGTTTCACTCATTATCAGTGTTAAGAAGACAGAATTGTTAACGTTAATGCTCTTTTTTGAAATAATGTGCTTAAATACCTGAGGTAACAAAGTATTTAATCAAATGTTCCCTTTATATCAGTAACTGAAAATGGGCGGATAAATGCATAGACTTTAACTTAGAAATCATCGTGATATCCTCTTGTCTGCCTTTATGACTTAAGCTACACATATATCTCATGTTAAAACAATTATCATAAACACACGCACTCACACAACAAGCACGCGTGGTACTACTATCCATTAGGAGTAAAACTCACCTCAGGTAAACATATAAACACATACACACTCTCGCGGGTGTAGTGTCTTAAGCTCTCAACACCGCTTTTAACCCGTGTGAGCAAAAGGGGCATTTCGGCATGACCTCGCATGACTTCCCTACTAATCCATTCTCCTCCAGGCTGACTTCGCCCACTCACGCCCGTCTTTGAGTCATGCGCAGGCTGCCAGGGAGGTAAGTTGTTCCTGTCTTGTTATATGTTCTAATTACTACAATGGCGGTAGAGTTGATTCTCCCTCTGCATTATTATTGGTTTTGCGATTTATTGTTGGATCGTCATTGTGGTGTTTTAATTTTTTGCATTTTTCTTTTCTTTTTTTATCATTCATCATATAGATTATAATATCGTGCGTTTCGTCTGTGTTTTAGTAGTGCAAAGCTGTCGTAGAATTACTTTGTTTGTATTAATGTCTGTGAATAATTCAAAGGTTCTTTTATTTATTTAATTATTTCAGATCTTGTTTCATGTATTCTAAAGAATAATCTCCTCTAGGGTTCAGGAAAATTGCAATATCATGACGGATTTTTATTCTTTCACCGACATACAAAAAAAATATATATAGAAACAAAACATAGGAACAAGGCACGGGAACACACAACACAGGAACAGGGCACGGGAACACACAACACAGGAACAGGGCACGGGAACACACAACACAGGAACAGGGCACGGGAACACACAACACAGAAACAAAGGGGGTCTTCAGAGCACTTGCACAGCCTTGTTTCTATTTGGTTGGGACTTTACGCTTCTTAATAAGACTAATAATAGTAATGATGATAATAATAGTAATAATAATAGCATTAGGACGTCTCCTCCTCCGGCCCTCGAGGAAGGTAGAGTCCTGACAAAGAAAAGAATATCAAAAATTAAACTAAAGAATTGTATATATATAATATCAAGTTGATATTAAGACTAATTTAAAGTATAACAAAACGACGAAATAATATAAGGAGAAGGGAGGGGATGGACGAGACCTTACCCGTTTCGAGTTAGCAGCGAACTGAACGTTTATGAACCTTTCAACCCGACCCTAATTCTCGACACGAACCGAACCGGTGTCGGTTCGGGTTAGTGGAGCTTCAAAAATAGTTCAGCTAATTGTCCAGTTACCGGTTTTGTAAAATACTAATCCTTTACAATGTCCTTTGCTCAGTGTATTTGACTACTTACATACAGAAGACACGCATCCTTTACCCCTGTGTTTCAAATTAAAAGATTTTATTCTTGTACTCATTATTTACATTAATAACCCGAAGCTTCACATCCTTTCCATAACCTTCATGTGATAACTGCGACATCTGACGCTAAGAGACTTCTGTTGTTTTTGTTGCATTCATGTCAAATTTGGTAAAGAATGTCTTCCCTTCCAGTTTGTTTCATTATCCGTAGTCCTTCTTAATGTTCCCTTAGTATTTCTTCACCTTGACTGTTTGAGTTCAGGCAATCACTTCTCACTCGGCTGATATCTTTGCTGGATAGTTCTGAGGGTGTCTGAATAGATGCCTCCGCTGCAAGTAGTCCTTAGTCTTAGTTTTGTTTGCGTTTTACATTGATTTTGTAGCGTATGGATTGCATCCTTGGTTTATAGTTTCTTCCAGACATTTGTTTTGGAAAAAAGGTAAGCTCTTTCTTTTTGTATAGTGGCACAGATATTTGGATAAATATTTGAATATATGTCTTGATTTTTTAAATAATATTTCGTCTTCTCCCATCCCCCTAACCGCCCTGTAGCCAGGTACAGTGGATACAGACATCGACTGGTGGGCCAAGTATTATGCGTCGTCGGGCCAGTCCAACCGCTCCGGGGCCTATCTGTCCAAGGGGTGAGTTGGTGTTCCTCAAGGCGATCGTGGTGTTCCTACTTCGTTTATTTGTGTCTCAGTAGAAATATGTCATATACACACAGGATTTTTCTTTCAGAGCTGTAAATATCATACATTGTTTCCCTAATGAGTTATATAGCAGACATGACTATTAGAGCCTAGAATTTGGCCCGGGTGCTATTTTTCCACATACTTTGTCATATTACTATTTCTTCTCCCCGGGATCAGTCAATCGAATTTAAATATTTATTAAAACTAACCGCGATTCCAATTACAGATACGAGAAGATGGAGGTGCTGTCAGGAGCCTTGGAGGACGAGATCAGGTTCTCCGGTTTCCGCGACCTCGTGGACACCGTGAAGTTGTTCCGGGGGCGCGGAGAACAGGCTCAATTCGCCGGCGAGTTCAAGGTGTGTTTGGAGGTTGATAAGAGGAAGAAAGGGGGAAAGGAAGGGAGGGAAAGATTGAGAAGAACATGGGGAGAAGGAGAAAGAGAAGGGTAGCGAGAAGCAGGGGAAAGGGAGATAAAAAGAGGGAAAGTGATAGGGGGAGATGAATAGAGAGACAGCGACATAGTGAGAGACAGGTGCAGATGGAGAGAGAGAGAGAGAGAGAGAGAGAGAGAGAGAGAGAGAGAGAGAGAGAGAGAGAGAGAGAGAGAGAGAGAGAGAGAGAGAGAGAGAGAGAGAGGAGGGAGAGAGAAAGAGAAAGGTTCAAGGAAGCGAATAGAATGGATGAATGGAATGATTCCAAGAAGATACGTCGAAATCGGCCGGCCATCGTCTCATTCCCTCCCCCTCCTTCCCCAGGGCACCTTCCGCGTGTATCCCCTGAACCAAGAGGAAGGCGACGACCAACCGCACCTCCTGTCCGGCTTCCCTTCCCCCGACCCGCAGGAGGTGATCGCGCGAGTCTACGTGGTGCTGGGGACGGACCTGGCACCCAAGGACGCCGGGGGTTCCTCTGACCCCTACGTCACGGTCAAGTTCGGGAAGACGAAGAGGTCCTCCAAGGACGACTTCCGCCCCAACACACTCAACCCCGTCTTCGGACAGTGAGTGGCTCCAGTTATGCTATTTTTTCTGTGCCGTATCAGAGCCTGACGTTGGCGACCATGTTTAATGTCATGGTTGTACAAGGGAGTGTACGAAGGTGGTTTCCCGTTGCCTTCCTTCGGGAGTTATGCAATATGTTACGAAAAAGTGCAGTCACACGAACGAGGGAATTAGAATAAGATGAAAATTATTATTATATATATATATATATTGTGATTTTTTTTCTGCCTTGATACTTGATAAAAGACACTTTTCATTTTCTTCAGCGTGTTTGAAGTTGGAGGAACTCTGCCTCTCCACAAGGACCTTCTGGTGCAGGTATGGGACCGCGACCTCGCCTCCTCGGATGACCTCATCGGAGAGACCACCATTGACCTGGAAAACCGCTTCCTCACCCGGCACCGTGCCACGTGTGGGCTCCCGAGGCAGTACCATGTGTGAGTGCCTGCGCGTCTTTGTTTCGCTACTTGTGCGCTCTTGTCACTTCTTTTCTCTGCTTTTGCTCTTATGTCATTTGTGTCTAGATGACTATCACTGTCTGTCTGTCTGTTTGTCTCTCCCTCTCTCTCTCTCTCTCTCTCTCTCTCTCTCTCTCTCTCTCTCTCTCTCTCTCTCTCTCTCTCTATATATATATATATATATATATATATATATATATATATGTATATATATATATATATATGTGTGTGTGTGTGTGTGTCTATATTTTATGTATATATATTATGTGTATATATATCATATGTATATATGTATGTATGTATATATATTTTTATATTATACATATACATATATATGTGTGTGTGTGTGTGTGTGTGTGTGAGAGAGAGAGAGAGAGAGAGAGAGAGAGAGAGAGAGAGAGAGAGAGAGAGAGAGAGAGAGAGAGAGAGAGAGATATCGCATTTTGTTTAAATACAAAATAAAAAATATTCAACGAAATCACTGCAGCCAATTTGCCAAGATCACTTCTAATCCAGAAGATGATATTACCTCAGCATCTCCGCCACCGTCACCTGAGAGGACCCAGTTTTGACTTACCTCAGTTTTAGTCGAGTAGCATGACTTGGCGGTCTTAAGGCTCGTGGGGCGCATTGAATTTATTCCTATGCAGTTTTAACCAATTTCTTTTATTCTGTAATTTAATAATAATAAAAAGGTGGCATATCGCAAAGGGTATAACATTAGCAATAATAAATATCAGAAAATTACAGGCATATTCTTTTCATAAATCATTTCAAATCTACGGTTAATTTTAACTTTAACCCTCCCTCTGCCTACTAATTATATAATTCAATTATCATTACAATAAATATGATTAAGAATTAACGTGAGATGTAATCGAGATTCACCTCCACTGGACAAAAGATAATCGATCCCTCCCTTCGAATTTTCACAATTTCCTTCTCTTACCTTTTATTTTGGTCTTTTGTTCCTTTTATAATTGCCACCTTCCACCTTCGACATGGAAGCCACGACCCATTGAATTATAATTGAATTATAAACAAAATATGGAAATAGGGAATAAGCAGTGAAAAGCAAATATAGGAATGAATAGACACAAATAAGCAAAATTCCTTAAATCAGGCAGAAATGCTTTCAAAGTCAGTGAGCGACACACCGTTCAAGTTAGTGCTTGCTTGCAGGAGCGGCTCCAACGCCTGGAGAGACGCGGAGACTCCCTTCGAGGTGCTGGCTGAGGTTGCCAAGCTGAGGAACCTCGAGGCGCCCGTGTGGCATGCTCAGCCCCCTGCCATTGCCGTCGCGGGGAACAGCTACCCTCTCACGGAGTTCGGTGAGTGGTATCTAGAGCTCTCTCTTGTTTGTGCCTTTCCTCTCTCTTGTCTGGCAGTTAATCCGATCCCTCTGAAGCCGCTCGACCCGTTTTAGCCAGGGAGGGCGAAAATTCTGGTCTGTTTTCTTCACTAGACTTCCCTGGACAGAGAAGTACCGCTCCCAAAATCCACTTTTCACTACTAGATTATATCCCTAACAAAACTACTTTACATTCCCTGTTCGAATCTCCTGCCCTATGATTCTTCCCTGTTGGAGCCCCTGCCTCTGCTTCCGCCAACAAAAGGTGAAATGAATGCTTTCCTCTCAGAATCCCCTGACGCGTCGCTGCCATCCACCGTGGGTCCTCCGAAGGAGCGTCTGGCTCTCTACATTCTGCACAAGCACTTCGCGCTGGTGCCCGAACACGTGGAGTCCCGCGCCCTCATGCACCCTGCTCGGCCCGGCGTTCCCCAGGGGCAGCTGCGCCTGTGGGTCGACCTCTTCCCTGCCTCCGCACAGCCACTGCCTCCGCCCGTGGACATCACGCCACGGCGCCCTCGCAAGTAGGTTCGAAAGGAAAAGTTCTGACGGATGTTAGGAGAAATCGGTGTGCATTTATGTCGCTTGTCTTGTTCTTTTTATCGGGGATTTTCGTAGAGCTGGATTTGAAAGTATAGTAGTAGATAACAGCGTTTCCATCGCAGATCATTCTGATAATGAAACAGAAATGAGTGATTACTGTCCCTTACAGATATACGCTGCGAGTAGTCGTGTACAATGTGTTCGAAGCGCCGCTCCAGGAGACCAGCTTAGTCGGACGGGAAAAGATGAGCGACGTGTACGTGAAGGGCTGGCTGCAGGGAACCAAGAACGTGCAGAAGACAGACATCCACTACAGGTCTGTTGATCTTCCTCCTCCTTTACCACGTCAATATGATTTAGACCCAAATCTCAATAATAACGGACATGAATAGTGGCCACGAATGTTAACGAGACGCTACTCCAGGTGCATGGACGGAGAGGCGAACTTCAACTGGCGCCTCGTCTACGACCTGGACATGATGGAGGCGGAGCAGATGATGGTGGTGGAGCACAAGGAGCACCCGTGGAGCCTCCACACCACGCAGCAGAGGCGGCCTCCTCAGCTCACGCTCCAGCTCTGGGACAACGACCTGATCCTCAGGGATGACTATCTGAGTAAGTCGTAATTTTAGGGTAAATATGAAACGATAATAATTACGAAACTAAGTGACTGTTGATGTCATTTTTATATTTATGTTTGTCATTATTACTGATCATAGTAGTATTGTTATTCACAGTAATAGCAGTAATAATGATAGTATTGTTGTTAAAGATAGTGGCATATTAATAATAAATAGTAGTGATAGTAATGGCAGAGTAGTAGCAGTAGTAGCTATGATCAGAATGCCAGAAAAGCCGAGCCTAAGCCCCGCCCCTCTGACCCGGCCGCCCGCAGGCGAGATGACCCTCGACCTGTGCCGCATGCCGAAGCCAGCGAAGCGCGTGGGCGACGTCGGGCCCGAGCAGGTGCCGCAGATGCAGGGCGACGGCGACGCCAACAGCGTGGCCATCACGCTGCTCGACGACCACTCGACCGCCGTCAACCTGTTCGAGGCCAAGCGCCTCTACGGCTTCTTCCCCTTCGTCAGGGTCACCGAGGGCGTCACCGAGATAGCGGTGAGAATGCGTGCTCTCAGTGCCTTCAGCACACTCTTATACATACACACACAACGCACACACACACACACGCACGTGTACATGCACATATATGCGTAGGAAAAAAATAATACTTAGCCTAGAAACCGGCCAGTTCCTGACGAGACGCCATTTTCGTTTTCACGCCCGCTAGCTTCATCTTACTATTATATAAATTCATTGCTCATCCATGACTACTTAATATCCTCTTGGCTGATGCGGCAGATCTTTCTGAAACACCTCTCTTGCAGGGTAAGATTGAGATGGAGTTGGAGGTGCTGACGGAGGAGGAGTCGAAGACGAGGCCAGCGGGCATGGGTCGAGACGAGCCCAACATGAACCCCAAGTTGCCAGAACCCAAGTGAGTTGTTGAGTCTTTGTATCTCGTCTGTGTGTCTGTCTCTGTCAGTCAGTCAATCAATCAATTAATCAATCAATCAGTTAATCAGTTATTTAGCGTTATTCAGTCAGTCAGTTATTTAGTCAGTGAGTCAGTCAGTAAGCCAGTCAGTCACTCAGTTATTTAGTCTGTTAGTCAGTTATTTAGTCAGTTAGTTATTTGG